GCGCTATGAAGCCGCCACGCCCCTTCCTACACACGTAGGTCCCACCCTCCGCCGCCGATACCGTCGCGGCTCGTGGGCGAGACCAAGTGCAAGGGGACAAGAGGAGGCGCGCGCGCAGAAGCGTTCGCTTTACACTTCCCGCTGTCCTCGTCGCCCCTCCCACAGCTCAGCAATGTGGTCCGATCCTCAGCGAAGGGGCGGTCCGGTCTTGAAAAGCCGGCCTTTGAGTGGAAGGCGGGAAGATGGCGGATTCCTCGGGGCGCGGGTCTGGGTGAGTGGAGGCGCGGCAGTCATGGACTTGTGGGTGCCAGAGGGATAGCCGTGACAAAGGGTTAAGGAAGACACGCAGCAAAGTTGGGAAGTGGAGGGCCTTGGGGCGAGTCTGGAGCCGACCCTTTCAAGAACCGCTCAGAATAAGCGGACCCCGGAAGGCCCTTTTGGCACGTGGCCTTTGCGCATGCTCAGGAGTGTGGGCACCCACGCGACAACTAGTTAAGCACTCTCGGCTTTGACGCCAGCGGACCTCGGTCAAATGGCCTAACCTCTCTTGTCTTGCATTTCTGCATTGCGAAATGGCGCTGATGACGTTGCACAGTCTCGTAGGTAGTGGTACTAGGTTTTAACCCGCTTAGAACAGCGCCCAAATCTTAACTGGGCTGGTTCTGTTAGAATTATTGTAATGCAGTGAAAAAGTGGCAGCTAAAGTATCTTTTTTAATCCTCCCACCCGCTTTATTCTGTGCTCCCCATTTGCTGAGTAGAGGATGGAGGCTTAGGGAGGTGAAGTCATTTGCTCAGGGTGACACAGCATGAACGGGGAAGAAGTTGAACATTTTACTGGGTGCCAGGCATGGTGTTGAAGCTTTGTTTGTCTGGTTTGCTGATTTGGCCAGTGTTTATTGTGCTTGTTGTGAATTGAAGTGAAACAGTCCAGCAGGAGGAATCACTGTACTGCTCCTTGCTTTAACTGTGAGATTGACAGTATCACCTTCCAGGGACAGGTGAGGTACTTGAGGCTCCCACAGGTGTAGTGACTCCCCTCAGGTAACAGCAGGTTGGGGCCTTGAGCCCATTCAGTTTGGCTCCAGAGCCCTGACTCAGGTTCCAAAGATACTTTCTTGTCTCTTAAGACTCACTAGCATAGACCTGTGTAAACCTCAGATGCTTGTCTAGAAAATGAGGAGAAATCAGGTGAACAGTTTGGAATCTGTAGGGTTGAGAGAATCCTGTGAACAAGCCCACCTCCTGGCACCTGGCAAACATTTGTTCATTGCCTCTCTTCACAATGGACTCCAGGTGCCCTCAGCACTACCCAGGTCTCACTTCAGGGTTCCAGGAGCTCACTCCAGAGGAGATGGCTGCAGTGGTGGCAGCAGGAGTTCCAGTGCCTGGCCTCCTGTATTGCTGGGCTCTGTTCTTGGCTTCTTCCTTTTCCCATTCACTCAAGCTGAAACCCTGGAGTCATCCCAGGCTCTCCCGCACCCCTAGTTGATTAGTCAGTGATTTGTATCTCACAGCCCCTTTCCTATTACATCATTCTGTTTTTAAATTGAGGTGAATTGCACTTAGCATGACATTAATCCTTTTAAATGTACATTTAGAGTGATATTTAGTATGTTCACAATATGTGAAACCACACCCTCTGTTCTAAAGATTTTTATCACTTCAAAAGGAAATCCTTTCCCATTAGCACTCAGAACTCACCCACATTCCCCAAGACCCTGGCAGCCTCTAATTTGCTTTCTGTCTCTGGATTTACCTCTTCAGGCCATTTCATGTAATTGAATCTTATATAACGTCTTTTTGTACCTGGCTTTTTTTTTTTTTGAGACAGAGCCTCAGACTGTCACCTGGGGAGAGTGCTGTGGCATCACAGCTCATAGCAACCTCCAACTCCTGGGCTCAAGCGATTCTCCTGCCTCTGCCTCCCAAATAGTTTGGGATTACAGGTGCCTGCCACAACACCTGGCTACTTTTTGGTTGCAGCTGTCATTGTTTGGCGGCCCAGGCTGAATTCAAACCTGCCAGCTCAGGTGTATGTGGCTGGTCCCTTAGCCACTTGAGCCACAGGCTCTGAGCCACCTGGCTTCTTTTACTCAGCACAGTGTTTCCAAGGTTCATCCTTGTTAGAGTGTATCAGAAATTCATTCATTCTTTCTTAGGGCTGAGTAACATTGAGGCTTCCTTATTTCTTGACAGGACCTTAGCACCTTCTAAGTCCTCTGTCTCTAGTCCCAGGCTTCCAGCCATCCATTCACCTTAGCAAGGGCTCTCAGCCTTGGCACGGTTTCATCTAGGGCTGGGTCATTCTCTGTGGTGGAGGACAACCTGTGTGTTATAGGATGTCTAGCAGTATCCCCAGCCTCCACCTACTGTGCCTCCTCTGTGTGTTGATCAGTAATGTCTTCAGATCCAACAGGATCAGTATCCTACAGGAAGAGACACCAGACAGCTCTCTTGCTCACACTGTCTTCAGGCGCCCACAGGGAAGAGGTTGGGAGCACAAAGGGATATGGTGGCTATCCATAAGCCTCAAGAGAACAGGCCTGGGAGTGAAACCCACCTTGCCAACACCTTGAGCTCAACTTCTGGCTTCTAGAACTCTGAGATATAAATGCATGTCATGTAAGCCACCCAGTCTGTGGTATTTTGCAGCCCTAACACACAGGCCCCTGGGTACAGGGAGGAGCAACAGAGACTGGTCCTTGTCCTTCTAAAATGGCAGTGCTCATTTTCCTACCAGCTGCTAATGGTCTGCATGAAGCACAGCTCTGACGTTCATCTCTTGTTTCAAGCCCTTCCCTGTTTCTCTGTTGCCCACAACTTGACCCCGTATAGGCTGCAGGTGAAAGCCATAGCACTGTGCTCCCTTTTATGCTACTGGTGAGCTAAGAATGGTTTGTACTTTTTTTTTTTTGAGATAGCGTCTCACTCTTGTCACCCTGGGTAGAGTGCTATGGCATCATTATAGCTCACAGCAACCTTGAAATCCTCCTCAAATGATCCTCGCCTTGACTCGGTTTTTCTATTTTTAGCATAGGGTCTCATTCTTGATTAGGCTGGTCTTGAACTCCTGAGCTCAAGTTGATTAGTTTTAGCAGCACCCATGTGGCCTACAAAGCTATAAATATTTACTTTCTGGCCCATTTACAAAGAAAAGTTGCCAACCTTGGCCTATAGAACAGAACTGAGCCCTTAAGCTAAAGTTCAGGACCCTTCTACATTGGCTCAGCCATCTTGTACTCCCTGACTTCATATCACTGTTTATTTTCTATAACTAAACCATAGGGCCGATCAATATGTATGTCTACATCATTTCTCTCCCACCCTAGTGTGCAGGCACTTGAACGATTGTCTCAGGATGTCCTTTGTGACATATCTGCGCCTTCTGTGCGTTGTCACACCTGTTCCCCCATCCTTGTATCTGCCCGGGCCTCACCTCACACTTGCCTGTTGAGGAAAATGCTGATCTTCCCTTTCTGGTAAGGAGCTCTGTGTTTTGTTCACTGTCGTATCCCTGGTTATGTACAGCAGGCACATAAATGTCTGCTGAATGAATAAACTCAGGGCTATGAGATCTTCCACACAGCAAAACTGATCTTTTCCACGGAACTCTTGTCACTTGTTCCTTCTCTTCTTAGGTGTTCAGCTGTGCTATATTGCCCAGGTGACTGGGACTGGTGGCTCCCTGTGTCACTCTTCCTATTGAGGTGGCCAGCCTTGCTGAAATTGTCCTTGGGCTCCCCTGTGCTTCTGAGGCAATGACACGAACAATGTCTTTCTTTTCTCTTGTAGGAAGCTTGCCTTGGGTGGTCCTAGCACTCCTAGTGGAGCCAAGATGAAAGGAAGAAGAGTACAAGGTGAGAGATAGCAGCATCCATTTAAATAAAAAGTGATTTTCTTCCATTAAGTCCTTTTGGGGAAAGGAAAAAATAGGCCAGAGAGAGGGCCTATGGCTTTACTTCCTTGTCACACCCTGGAGATTGAGTCTGGCCATCCTGGCCCCATGGCTAGGAATGTCTTATGGTCATTTTGGACAGTGGAGCCCCTTTTAGCCATAGGATTCATGAAGTGTGTCCAGGACACATCTTTTGGAAGATGGATATGGAGGCCATGAGCTGAATCATTATCTAAAATCATAGTCTCAGGCCAGGGGCATGGTGGCTCGTGCTCATAATCCCAGCACTTTGGGAGACAAAGGCGGGAGGATCATTTGAAACTGGGTATTTGAGGTTGCAATGAGCTATGATGATGCCACTGTATCCAGCCTGGGTGATAGCGCAAGACTCTGTTTCAAATAATGTGTAAATAAAATGACAGTCTTGATTTCTGCTATGTAAGTACGTTAGTCTTCTGGGAGTGCCCATATGTCTAATTTTCCCCTGTAGGTCTGGGATAACTGTTGACATACACACTCCATTTCATTGATTCTCAGCAGAGCCTGGCTGAGTGATAGATTCTCCATCATTGAAAAGTCTAGACTGAGGCTCGGCGCCTATAGCTCAACGGGCTAAGGCGCCAGCCACGTACACCTAAGGTGGCGGGTTCGAATCCCCAGCCCGGACC